AGGCTGCCTCGGACCTGTTTGACCCGCCCCCACTGTTCTTTTTCGGGCCGCCGCTGTACTACATTGTTGCCCCCCGCCGTGGGCGGGGCGGTGATGCCCTAGTGGTCCAGTGGGTCCAGTCGCGTTAACCACGCGTTAAGCACGCGCTTAATGGCGCTTAAGCACACGCTTAATGGTGCTTATACGTACACGCGGCCCCTTGCAGAGCGCCCTGCAGCGCCCACATATGTAACACACGGTGCTGCACACAGACTGCAGTTTTACGGTTATTCGCCCGTCCAGCCCAACCCGTGCTGCAGCATGCCCTCACGACAGTTATACGGCGTGGGGTCCGCACGAGCGGGCGGGGCGGGGATCAAACAAATCTGCAGTCATTTCTGATCTTTTGGGCGCGGTCCGAGGCGTGAGGGTGAAGGGGGAAAAAGGGAGGGGGGGGGAGTGGTTCACACGCATGTTCCAACCGCCGTCGTCAGCGCACCACCACCACGCTGGCCGGCAGGGTGCGGTATTTTGTCGTCCCGTCCACTTATTCCGGTCATAACAAAGTACCCTTTTACTGCCAAAGTCGCGCAGCCAGTTCACTACCGCGCATAAAGCAAAAAACAAAACAATAAAGGGGACCATTTAAAAGAATTGGGCGATTTCATTTTCCTTTCTCCTGACGATGGGCACCCTCCAGAAAGCACGTCCGTGCGAAGCCCCGCCAATGCTGAGCCGCAAGCTCTCCTAGCGCCTAGTACGTAGGCAAAATCTCTCCTGCCGTGCATGCGTGTACTGCGGGGTGGCCCATCCTGAGTCTCGCAGGCGCGAAAGGTCAACTAAATTGCAGACCAAATCTGAGGAAAACAGACATGCATTCTGGACGATCCTCAAGACTGCAGACGGCTGTATCAGCAGCCTCTCCTCTGCCGCCAAACAACTTGCCTTACTGCGGCGATTAGGCACTTAGTTTGATTGGCGGGTTCCCCCCCGACCAATCGGGCGCGCGAAGAGGCGTGAAGTCGCGTGGCAGATCGGTTGATGCCGAGTCACTCACGGCCCGGGAACACCGATCTAGCCTTCCCTTACCATCTCTCTCTCTCCCTCCATCTCTCTCTCTCTCTCTGCTTGTTTGGGAGGGCGTAACGCCAGTAGCCGGCCGCACTGTCAGTCCGAGCTGCAAGTCATGCATTCTGTTTGGAGCGGGGGCCGGGAGGGCGGTAGAAACACACAGACAAACACAAGCGCGGCACACGCACTCTCACGCACATCTTCATCGCGGTGGTCTCGGCCCGCGGCGTGGGCGCGTTGGACGCGCACGAGGAAGCTGACACACATCCATTTTATTTCTGCTCTTGCTCAATCGCTGCTGTACCTCAGAAGTTTTTTTTTTTTTCTTTAATGTCACCAAATTCATTATTGTAGTGTTTTTGCATGTTTTACAGGAATGTCCGGAAGACGACTACGCAGCTATAACGGTGTCATGTCTAACTTTTAGCCAATTCAACCTAAAAGCGCGTTTTGAAATTTGCAGGAAGTGCACAAACTTATCTGTGTACGCAGACGTCACATTTGCTGGGCGCGCCGTCAGATTAGCGCTCGGATTAGCGCCTGCTCTCAGGAACGATAGGGGGGCAATGGTATGAGCTGCTCCCACTTGCCCCGGGGCGGCGGTGTGCCGTTCGGTTCGGCTTTCGCTCGCTCGTTGTCATGCAAAGGCCGGCCACGGTGGTCAGATTTCATCCCAGATAAAGCTGAGGGCCTTATATGACGCGATCAGACGGCCCGAGTCGTGATTCATCTTCACACCTGGGCCGAATACCGAATACTCATTCCATCTCAAAATGTTTTACCCCCACCCCGC